CTACCTTGGTCAATTATAGAATGTTTGCATGGCTTTCCAGTGTTTAATGTAGAAGGACAGCAAAGGCTCATTGTAGCCAGTGAAGGAAAAGAAAAAAATTCCACCAGTGGTCACATTCTCTGTGCTTCGCTTGTAGTTATCTGTGGAGTACGTGCATTGTGGCCAGTGCTTACTAGTCAGGGTAACTGTACTACTGATAACAGTGATTTGTTCAGAAGTCTTCAGGTCTGAAAGTAATGAATTTAGCTCAATGTAGTCTAACTTCAAGACCCACATAGATATTCACTATTTTTTGCCAGGCTTCCAATAGGGTTTTCATATTTTGGAGCTCAGGTGTGCACAATCTAAGGCCTAGGTCACCATAGAGACATACCAGAAGTGCCTTCTGCAACTGGATGCTGCCACCAGGATCAGAGTGAAGCACAGGTCATTTGGAATATTATCCTTTCAGAGACTGCCTCCTTCTCCAGCCCAGGAAGAAGCTGTCCTGTGGATGTTCTTTCCAGAATAAAGACCCTTAGTGAGACTTGGCTCTTTTGTGACTCCACCTGAACAACCAGCTCTTCTCTGGGAGTCTGAATTGAAGGTTAGGTATGACTGCTCAGAGGGGGAAAGTGTGAAATGGTAATCACTTTCATATGACACTTGAGAAATGTTATAATAAAGCTGAGTAAATTGGAGCATGAGTTAGCCAGTCCTTTGCTTAATGATGTCACTCGCTTTGTGCTTCCTCCAGCCTATGATTAATAAAAGGGGGTTATTACAGTAACTCACTCCTAGTGGGCAGCAGTGACGTCAGCAGCAGCTGAGCAAACTGACTACATTTAGTCGTGCGTGTGTATGTGGGCATTTTTTTTCCCCTGTGACTAACATGAAGTTAACAGCATCTAATAAAACAAAAGCTTCTTGAAAGTTAAGGAAGTTATTGGTGAACTCTTCTCTACAGGGAGTGCCATTTTAATTGTTCTCATTTAGTAGCTAAATGATGTTAGAGTTGGCCAAAATGACATTATTGGCTTTCCAGTCTTTTTATTAAAGTGATCACAAAAGGGCTTTGAGAGATCAGATTTTTTTCCTTTAATAGAACTACTGTTCTTCCATTCATCGGTTTAGCCCATCTCTTAGGAGGACCGACAAAGTGTTAAGACAAGGGACTGTGGCCATAAATTGTCTTCAGAAAGCTGAAGGTTATGGAATTTTGTGACCCCAGCTAAACTGCACAAGATAATTCTACTTTCTTACACTTTGCTTCCCCAAACTGATTAATGCTAACAGAGACCTGCTTGCCAGTTCACCTTTGAAAACCTGACCTTCCTGAGATTAGAGTAGGGCACCTGGAAATATTTATTTACCAGGCCTGCTGTGGCCAGAGTGTGCTGCCAGAGCATGCATAGGAGAGGTCACAGTGCAGTGAAGAATAGCACCCAAGCCACTGTGGCTTAGACGTGCCTGGGAGCTGCTCCCATAGAGGGACACAACCTTTGGACTTTATCAGGACATGCAGGAGGTAGCAATTCACTGATCTAATACACACACACACACACACACACACACACACACACACACACACACACTGACCGGACAGCTTCAAGGTTTTTATTGGCTTTTACCTTTTGGATCTATAATTGGAGAACAGGTTGTAGAAGTATCTTTGTGGATAAGCAAAACTGAGTTAGAATCAAGGTCTCTGCTCTCATCATTCTAATGGGATCTATACATTAAATCTCTGTGTCTTCAACCTTGGAACATGGGACTTGTTATCTTAGGGGATCCAGGTAAGGAAAGAGATGGCAACACTCTGTTCTATGTTCCTTTGAAAACGTTGCCCATAATCTTCTAGGGAAAATAAATCAATTTCTGCAGCAAACTTTTCCTTATTGGGTTTAAACTGAGTTATGACAATTTATGAACATTATGTATGTTGGTCAGAATTTTGAGAAGGCATATTTGTGTGGTTTCTCTATAGGTTACAAGTGATTATTGAGTTTTTGCATGTACTAGCCACTCTTGGGAAGAAATCCAGGCATTTATGAATCATTTGGGAGTTGATTGAGGCTTTTGGTTCTAAAATGACCATTTACCTGAGTAGACTATGATTCACATCTTGGAGGAGATGACATGGCGTCATGATGTCTAAGACACTCCCCTTATGGCTTTGTCCATTGACAGATGAACTTTGACTTACCATCTTTCTGGATGAGCTGAGCCACCCAGAAGCTAAGTCATGAACTTGGGATGTTGATCCTCATCTCCTTAAAAGTATTTACATCGACGCTAGCTTGTAGGATGCTTCTGTCTATGATATTTATCATTTGTTGTTGATGACGCTTTTTCTGTATCTTTCACAATCATGTCTGGGACCTCTCAGAGGAACAGCACCTGGAGGGCCTTAGTCTTCCTTTGACAGCCTCACTTCCTTATAAGAAGGGTGTTTGCAGTATACTATGTTGTTTGGAATGTCCATTAGGATTTAGGCAAGAACTCTGCTTTATTTCATTGGGTATTTATTGTATGTCATTCTCTTAAGGTACTAGACAATAATGAAACTAGTATTTTTTTTTCTGTTTCCTTTTTATGGTTAAGATAAAAGCATAGCTATCACACATTTGTAAATTTTACTTTGGGGGGATTCCCTATTGCATTGATTAAGCTGTTACTAAATTGCTAAAGTGAGGTTCCAGTTATATTTACTTATTTATTTTGTGAATCTGTTGTCTTGGAACAACTTGGGTATGAGTCAGCTCATCTAGATTTGTTGCTTGTCAACAAGGCCTGCCTGCTGATTAACCCAAAAACTTGCAGAAATGTACTGAGGGCATATGAGAAGACATGTTGGAGCAATGAGGTTGCCTATGAAAATTCAGTTTTCTGTTGCCTCACATGAGCCTCTAGTCATTGAGGAAGCAGGACACTTCAATCCCCAACGCTTTGTGTAATTGGATTCTTTTCTAGTGTTATAGTCTTGGTTTCCAAGTCCTCTTGGACCTTGGATGTTAAAGGGAATTGGGTAAAATCTTAAACCCATGTCTCTAATTCAGGGCTTCCCCAATGTATAATCATTGCTAATTACTCTAGCTTGGACACCATCTTATGCTGTGCATTGTGGGAGGGTTCTTAGCATCCTTGGCCTCTGTTCAGTAGATGCCAGTGGCACCTCCTTCCTGGTTGTGACAGTTGGAAGCATTGTCAAATGTCCCAGGGAGCAAACTCATTTCATCTGAGAACCACTGTCCTGGAATGAAGAACAGTTCATTTACTGATTTTTTTTTCTTCATCTTCTTTCCCTGGGTTAGCTCTAGCATCTGGGGGCACTGTTTGGTTAACAGTCTTCAATACTCTGAGAGCTGGCCCTCTTACCCAGCATGAGGCCTGGAGGGATAGTCAGGCAGTTCTGAGAAAAATTTGAGTCTTGGGTGCCAGGGAGTTTGGGGTTAACTATTTCTGATTTGTTGCTTTTGATACATTTCAGAGGAATATTAGGCTACCCTTGCCACCTCTGTTTTGAACAATTCATTCTTGATCTAACTTAGAAGCACAACTCCCCCCCCCACCCCCAGTTTGATTTTGACTGCAAAGTAGGGCTTCATCTCTGGCCCAAATCCTTATATCTAACATTTGGCCCAAACTGGGTGCAGTCTGTGGCCAGTAGGAATTAGATAGGTCTGCAAAACCCATACTCTACTGAATCCATTTGATTGGATGCTTAACCGGGGACTTCCACAGTCTACTGCTCAAAATCCTGCTCATGTTTTCTGGACACTGAACTGCCACTTGGAGGAGAGGGGTAACTCTTCACAAGGAGGCAAAGTTTTCCTTCCTGATCTCAGAATAACACTCAGCTGCTGAGAACACCTCGAAAGTCCTTTTCATTTCCATAGTCACGTTTCATGCTCCCTTTCCCAGTGGGGATGAGGCAGAAATCATGATTTTTTGGAAACAGATTTTTCATGGGAAGGAACCAAACACCCTGAGTTGTCAGCAGCTTGTTCATGCCTCGGAACCACCAGCCTCCTGTCATTCAGTTGAATCAGAGGGCACTTCTCAGTCACCTGCTCAGGGTGTCCATATCCCGTTTGACATGTTCAAGTGAATCATGGGATCTGTGAGCAGCAGTACCACAGAGTCGTGGACAATGGTTCCCTTTCCACACCTGCCTCCTCCATTCAGGAATAGTGAAGGGAGAGCAATTAATAGTCTGGATGAAAGCTTAAGGACATACGGTTTGCATGGTTTGCTTCAGAGGAAAAGTGAATTTTCTCACTTCGTGATCTCTGCCAACTATATACGGTCCCAGCTGCTGCACAGGGCAAACACACAAGGCCAGAGTTAGTTGTGCCCCTAAGATATGTGTCACCCAGCCACAGGCCAGCACCAAAACGCAGGTCTTCCCATCCTCACAAAGGAGCTCTATCCTCAGAGGAACTTTCTTTCTTGACCAGCTCACTAATTGTGATTGAAAACACCAGCTCCCCAGCAATGCTCACGCATCCGAGTTAGCAGAAACAAGACAGGCCCTAATTGCTCCATTTACATAAAAGTAGAAACATACAACTTCTAAATATAAATCTCTGGCACATCTCTTCTTTTGCAATTACAGTAAAATAAGGTACCAGTTTCCCTCCGGGCTCCTCCTCACAGCAAGCTGCTCCCCGGGTTCGCTAGTGGCTGCTCCTCCAGGCGAGCACAGGGCCAGCGTGGAGTTGGAGCTTTGTGAAGTAGCCAGTAAATCAGAACGCCTCCGCTAGGTGCAGAGCACGGTGGCAGCGGGCCACTCTGCCAGTGCGGTAGTCGGTGGGACCGAACTCCACACTCGGGAAGGGGCAGGCAGCCGGCGCCGGGCCTGTGCTGCTTCTCTGGTTTGGCCAGGAGACCGCCAGCCCCACTGCAGGTCCTGGTCCCTGACATTCCCTGGCACCAAGAGCTGGGATCAGAGATTCCCAGCTGCACTCACTGAACAGTGATTATTATTTTTTTTTCCTTCCCCTCCCTGAATTCTTTAGCTGCCAAACCGGGGGGAAAAATCAAGAGCTGCGCTTTTAAACGAAGTTGCCCTTGCTGGTGTTCAGGGTAAAAATAGAGGCGGCCGCTTGGACCGGCTTGGCCCTGAGTCCAGGCGTCCCGCGAGCCGGGCTGGAGCTTCGCATTCGGGAGTGATCCCTGGAAACTGCCAGCAGGTGCTGCTCAAGGTACGGTGGCAGGCTGAGAAGGGACAGGGCCTGGGTGCAGGGAGTCTCTGCGGGAGGGGCAGGAAATGAAAGAGAAACCAACCCCGCTTAGAGCTGCGCTGACCAGCGCACGCCCTGGGCCCTGGAATTCAGCAGGGAAACGCTGATCCTTAGCTCAGAGTATTCCACAGAAGCTGTTTTAACCTGCCTGCTTCCTCCACCACCCCCAACTTGATTTCCATGGAGAGAGAGGAGGCTTTCCCAGTGTAGTTTATCTTTGAGGTTGGGGAATCCAGCTATGTCATGTCACAGCTACTAGACTGGCTTAGCAGGTGGGCACTTCCGTGGTGTCAAAGGCCAACAAGGGTCTCAGAGTGACCCGTGTGAGGTAGGTGGCCTCTGAAGTCAGGGTCCTCAACATTCCCATGACACACATACTTAAGAAACTACCAGGATTCCCGGAAATAGCACTATGGTTTTTTTGACCCGGAGGTTATAGATCCCATTTTATAGATGGAAACACTGAGGCTTGAGTTTAAGAGATGAGGGACCCTCAGAGCTGGGGTCTGATCCAGGCACGTTTCTGTGACACCCATTCTGTATTTGGGTGCAAGAGGTACTTGCCCTGAAATCATGTGTGAGGCAGGAGGTGAGTTTAGATGCCAGAGGTTCTTATCAAATAGTACGGAAGTGCTCTCTTCCAAAGGTGGGCATAGGATGGAGCATCTCTGGATTTCTTTGTCTTTGTCACTCATATTCCTTTCTTCCGCTATAACTTCATTCCCTACTTCAGTTCTCTTATGCGGTTCTTAGAAGGCTTCTCTCCCCTCCTCCCCTACATATAACTAGCACTCACACTTTGTAGTCAAGATACCCTTGCACAGACAGCCCCTGGTGTCCTAAAGGAGCCTTCCCCCCACTACACATCAGGAGACCAGAGCCTCTGTATTTTGCTTGTGGGCACAGTGAAAAGTTTATTTTATGCATGTTAAATCCGGCACACAAAACAACATATCTGGTCATATGGCTTTCATTAGCTCCCAATTTTGCACATTTTATCCAACTTGTCATGAGAACCTGGCCAGTGCTTCAGCTGTGCTCTCTCCTGAGGACAACGGGACCATCTTCACTAAGCTTATCAGTAGTTCCTCTCTTTTATGGTATCTCCCTGCCAATGTGATTCTCCCCACCCCATCCCACCCGGTCCCAGAAATCCCCTAATTAACTATACTTGTATTTCAAAAGAGTTCACTTCTTTTCATTAAACTCACATTTATAATGTTTATAAGTTATAGGGCTTGAAGTTCTAGCCTAAAAAACTATATGTGTGTGTGTGTGTGTGTGTGTGTGTGTGTGTGTGTTGTTTTGTTTTTGCTAGTTAGGATAGGACTCTTAAAGATCAAGGCAGGCAGGGTACTTAGGAAGTTCACTTGTAAAGGACTATTTCCCAAGTCTGGGGTGATAAATGATGTATGAAGTGGGCATTCAATTTCAAGGTGTAAATTAATAGTGTGAGTCAAGGCAAGGAGACCATCACCACATGGACACACAAATTGCCCTATGTTTTTCTGCAAGAAAATATCTTATTTTAATCATAATTATAAAGTTAGACTTCCTATAAAGAACACTATGGATTTTCTTTGCTGTGGAAAAAGTAAAGTGCTTTGCAAATAGAGGCAACTTTATGAAGTAACAGATGTTTTATGTACAGGCATAAAACTGAACCTGAATATAACAAGAAATATGTGTGAGTAGTATAAAATCAAAGCTGGACATTCTTGGAGGTGTGTATGCTTGTATTTGATTCTCCTATTTTTGTTTCATTTATTTATTTATTTATTTATTTATTTATTTATTTATTTATTTTGTAAAGGGTGGACTATTCCTAGCCACAGGCTTTACTGGCTCAGTACATCACCCAGGTAGTGTCTCAGAAGCCAAGAGGGATTTCCATTAGATAATGAATTATGAAATGTCTCACACTGGAAAAACTAGTCATCTGCTGATGTCATGCTGATTCTAACCAATCCTAAACAAAGCCCAGCCCCCTCCATGAGAGGTACCAATGTCTGAGTGTACAACTAAGTACTACAGTATAAAACTTCACAGTGCCAATACCATGAAGAGGAACTCAGACAGCTCTGACCTCATGATACAAGAGCCGGCTGGCAAAACAGAAGGGACCAAAAAGGTAATGCTTTTAAATTCTTGCTTATGAGCTTTCTACAAGTTAAAATTCACTATGGTTAAGAGGACTTTTACAACTTTTTGGCACCTCCATAGGTATTTGTATCATTTTCTATTGTGCAGGCAGGTTAATACTGTCTTTAATAGTCTTAGAGCATGCAAATAGATTATGTGTTTATACAATCCACTCAGCACACATATACAAGTACATATGCCAAAGAGAAAGCTATTTTTAAGAGTTCCATTTGCAAACAGTAAATTCAGGGAACACACACATATTCACATGCAGAGAGAATCCAAACATTGATAAGTTGTTCTTATCCAAATGCTACTATTAGGACTCTTGAGTTGTTTAGAGTCATTAAACTTTTAGCTCTATGTTAGTCTGTCTTGTAAAACTTAACTGCATCACAAAATGCTCCGGGTTCTGTATCTGTAATTCCAAATAGGTGGGTGACGTTATTATAATACAAAGATACTTTATTGAACTTTATAATGCCCATGCTCCTACTTCCCTCATCTTTATGCCATTCCTCCCTTTATTTAAAAAACATGAGAGTTTTAGGTAATATGGACAGTCTTGTCAACAACAGCACAGTCCTCCTACCCCTGAAAAGGTGTCAGAGGGCTGGTAACCAAGAAAGTCTTGTGCCTTGTTGCTTTTGAAAAAGGTAGCATTTGTATGGTTTAGAAAAGCATTGTTACCTTTCAAAACTGCAAGTTTAACTTAGTGTCATGATTTTATCAACCTCATCTCCTTGTATGTAGACCTCATGCTTGTAGTCCTGACACCTATTTCCTCTGTCCTCATGACCTGCTTTGCTAGATGAGAATGCTCTGGACATGGTAAATGTCAGGTAGAAGCAAAGTGCATCTACAGAAACTAAGAGGACTTATGTGTAGAGAAGAAACTGAGAGGGAAGGACAGCTTTAACAGATGGGCGCTTTAAAGATACTTCTGCAAGATAAAAGCAATAAGACAGAAAATGAAAAGGGGGTGTGCAGAATTTAAAAAAAAAAAGCCTCAGAAAGGCATTGTTTTAAAATGCACATTTGTCTTGTTCTGTGAGCATTGTAATCTTTGATGATTTCAGCTCTGCTTTGAAGAGAAAGGAAGGAGCCAAGCAGGCTACCATGAATTCTATGGTTAATACCAGGAGGGGGGCAGAAAAACAAAACAGAACTAGCACATGCCAGAGAAAAATAATTTGTCAATATAATTTAGAAAGTCTTCCCTCATAGGCTAGTTATTTGCACCATAAGAGTATACTCTTTTTTATGAAAGAATTAGAGAAAGGCCAAATGAATTCTGTGCTTTATCTCTGAAGCCAGGAAAAGGGACAGTGAGTATGTGTGCATACAGGACAGAGAGAGAGAGAGAGAGAGAGAGAGAGAGAGAGAGAGAGAGAGAGTACCTTCTCTGATTCGGGCATGTAAAGGGCATGTAAAATGCTGCTTGCCCAAGGGAGCCTCCAATGCCCTGCTGTGGTGCCCAGTTGGCAAAAGCTGAGTGTATTATATGACCCCAGACAAAAGTTCTGCTGCGCTCCAGGTCCCATTGGATCGCCTGCTGGCATGAGGATCCTGAACATTTAAATATGAATGAATGGCAGAAAGGAATGGTTCTGGATTCTGTCAGGCAGAACAATCAGCTGTCCCAGGCAGCCCCTCTGCCCCAGGTTCAGTCCCCTGACCTGTAAGATCTACTGAGGGCTTCCCTCAGCCCCCCCCCCATCAAGGCCAGGTGGGTGCTCACTCCAGGGTAGTGCAAGGCCATGGGAGAGGACTTTGGGGGCACACTTTCCAATCAAGTTACCTCAGTGAATGGAGACAGTTTGTTTGGGTTTTCCCTTCCAAAGAAGGAAGGTAAAACTGACTGAGCAGAGAAAGAGGAAAAGGAGGGGGGAAAAGTAGAATAAAAAGAAAGAAACCCCTAGATGAAAAGTGAACAGAATTAGGAGCATTTATTGTAGAATGGGCTAAAGAATCACCCCCCACCCCCAGAGAATGGTAGGATTTGAAGAGAGGTGTGTGTGTGTGTGAGGGAGCAAGGAGCAGAAGGAAAGCAGCCTGTCAGAAAGGGCTGTCCCTCCCCCGAGTCCCAGCCCTTACTCACAGCCTCCCTCCCTCTCCCATTCAGTCACTCACTTAGGGCCAATCCGTGTTCTCTCTCTCTCTCTCTCTCTCTCTCTCTCTCTCTCTCTCTCTCTCTCTCTCCCTCTCCCTCCTCTCCCCTCCCTCTCTCCCTCCCCTTCCTTGCTCTCCCTTTCTTTCTCCCCCTTCCCTCTGTCTTCTCTCCCCCTCTCTCCTTTCTCCCTGTCTCTCTCCCTCCCATCCTCTCTCAGTCTCTGTCTCCCCCCCCCACCCTGTCTCTTCCTTCCTCCCTCCCTCTCTCCCTCCCTCTCTCTCTCCCTCCCTCCCTCCTTCCTTCTCTTTTACTCGGAGACAGTCAGAACTCTCCTCCCTGACAGCCACAAACCTACAGCCCTGACTGCATTCACAGAGAGGGAACCTGCAAACAAAACTTCACAGAAAACTTTTTGCTCTTGTTCCAGAGAATTTGCTGAAGAGGAGAAGGAAAAAAAAAAAAAAAAAGTCCAAAAAGAACCTGTGCGTGAGGGAGGGGGAAGGAAAAGCAGGGCCTTTAAAGAAGGCAACCTCACGACTTTTGCTGCCAGGATGCCCTTGCTTTGGCTGAGAGGATTTCTGTTGGCAAGTTGCTGGATTATAGTGAGGAGTTCCCCCACCCCAGGATCCGAGGGGCACGGCGCAGCCCCGGACTGCCCGTCCTGTGCGCTGGCCACCCTTCCGAAGGATGGACCTAACTCTCAGCCAGAGATGGTAGAGGCTGTCAAGAAACACATCTTAAACATGCTGCACTTGAAGAAGAGACCCGATGTCACCCAGCCGGTGCCCAAGGCGGCGCTTCTCAACGCGATCAGAAAGCTTCATGTGGGTAAAGTGGGGGAGAACGGGTACGTGGAGATAGAGGACGACATTGGCAGGAGGGCCGAAATGAATGAACTCATGGAGCAGACCTCGGAGATCATCACCTTTGCGGAGTCAGGTGGGTGCTGGCGTTGGGGGGTGGGGGCGGGGGCAGGGAAATGTATTTCGTTGACAGTCCTAGCAGGAACTTCTTTCCCTCCCGCTAGAGACTGCCCGAGAAGGTTATTAGTTATTAGGTGATGGTGGCGCCGGAGAGGCAAAGGAGGGGGAGAAGACTTCTTTGCCAGGGAGCCCTGCCCCGTGATGGCTAGCTTACACTTGCTAAATAAACTCAGCGGTTACCCAGAGAGGAAGCTCCTGGGCCGGTTTGGAGGTGGAAGGCAGTCTGTATAAGACACCCTGGCTGCCCTGCCTAGGAAGCCAGATCGGAGTAGCCAGATGAAAGCAGGGCATTTGGGGGGTTGGGGGGGTGCAGAGGCAGCATCTGGACCCCATCCAAAGTTTTTCTGGGGTAGGAGTGAGAGTGGCTGGGGGCCTGGTGCAAAGGCACTGATGAAACCACTGTCTGAAAACAAATCTTTAAAGGTCTGATCTGGGGCCACATTGGAGCCAGACTTGGGCACATTTATGAGTGACAATCGTTTTCACCTCTGGAAAACCTGCCTCTGTGCACAAGCCACCCAAGACAGCAAAGAGCAACCCTCAGGGTAGTTAGCATTGAATTAGCCATTGCTTTTGGAACAGTGACATCTTTGCTTTTGGAATAAAAACAAAATAAAAAACAAAAGCAACAGCATCAACAAAAAGCCAAAGAACTTCACCCCCAACTCAGTTTTATTCTTTGTAAAGTTACTAAGAACTTTTTGCCAAGGAATGCAATCTTGACAATGTGCTCTCAGACATGATGAGCTACTCAATCCTTAAGAGGAAGAACTTGAATAGAATTTAATCATTGGCTCAGGTCCACACTAACCTGTTGCTGTGTAGAAAATACCTGTTTAAAGCCAAGACCCTAGACTTGGAACTGGCTGTTCATACCACCAGGAGGACACAGATCTTACTGCAAGTCTGTAAGTCTGTGGAAGCCGGCATACAGATGGGTTAATAATACCTTTTCACTTTCATGGTAAATGCCAGGCTAAGGAATAGGATCCCTTGCCAAAACCATTTGAAAGGAATGCCATTGTTTTGTTTGGTACAGCATATGGCTAGTAAAGTATGTGCAGGGACTCCCAGCATTTTGTTTAAAAGTTTGCTGCAGCAGTATAAACAATTAAGGCAACACTCAAAATTTCCAATCCTGAAAACCTGTTGACTCAGATGTTCTGTTTTCAAGAAAGCCATTCAAGACCTGGGCATCCTTGTGGGGGAGGGGAGGGTAGGAGCCCATAGGCTGCTGGTTTGGTGGCTTCCTCCTAGTAAGAAGCCTTGCTACCCCAGCAGTTTCCTAGAGAGGTTAGCTCTATGTCTTACTTTGTTACCTACTAGCTTCTTCTTGATACATTTCCCCAAACCTTAGTTACTGTGACTTTATTTTCTGAATCTGACTGAGGAAAAAGACAGGTTGGACCTTTCAGGTTGCCACTTAATTTCTTCATCTTTCATAGTTGGAAGGTGAAAGATAATTTTTATAACTCTGGTTGGGGTGAGTGTGTGTGTGTGTGTGTGTGTGTGTGTGTGTGTGTGTGATGTGTTCTGTGCTCCAGAAGGTTGATCCTGGGCCTTACGTGTTCTTATATGCAACCTTCACCTATGGTGACCTCGATTGCAGTTCCTATTAACTTGGTTTTAACTGTATCATGTGACTAAGTATACATACGGACTTCTGCCATGATTAACTGCACCAGCACTCTATCCTTCCCTCTGACTTTCTGGGCTTGTATAGAAAATTCATCTCTTGGCAGTTAGAGATTTGGCAAAAAATTAGGCCATTTACACTCTTTCTTACTTATGGCCTTCTCAATGCTAATGACTCTCTCAGTCATATAGGAGCTTGTCATTTTTGCTTCTCTGTTGTTCAGTGTAAGAGAAAATGAGCTGCTATTTACAACGGTGATTCACTGGACTCACACATTGAATGAGTGTAAAACTTGTAAATGGAAAGTCCTTGTAGTTCAGGAACATGGTGTGTTTGTTACAGTTGCTTATTTTCTCATGTGAGAAGTAGCACATGTTGACATCAAGTTGATAGAATATAATTTCACATATGTAAGTAAGGATCATAGTATAGACAATCTACTCTCTAAGTAGTGTAGAATATGATATAAGCCATTAATGCAGGGAACGTATTTATCATCTGATTAATTAGAGCAAATATATGAAAATGAACTGCACAGGTCTGCGTTGTTGCTTTGGGAATAATTCTGCTTTTCTATGTAGTACATTTATTTACATATGTCAAGAATAGAAAAGGGCATGTACTATTTTTTCTTTTCTTTGTAATCACTAGTATAGCATAGAGAACAGCTGATGAGTATTACCTGTAAGCACACTACAGATGTGCCTTTTCATATTAAGATTCCTGATATGGGATGTGTGTTTTACTTTGTTCTCTTCACTCAAGATGGTTAGCTAAAGTTGCCAAATCATGAAAATAAAGATACTGCAAACACTACAGTACAGTTGACCTTTTAACTGAACTATTGGGTTCAGGGGGGAAATATTTCAGCTTTGTGAAATGTATTGGATTGCATTTACTAAACAGCAGGCATTCACTCTCAAGCTCTCTGAAATATGCTCCAATAAACAAAAGTGATTTTATGTTCACAGGTGTCACCCAAGAGTGCTTCCCAAAGTTAGCATATGGCTGGCCCCACACCCCCAGAGCTTACTTTTCTTCAAAGAAATGCCAGTATGGATGAGTAAAGCCAATCTAACTATGACTTAAGTTGTCAATGAAATCGAGATCAGAGGACTTCTTGGCCTATGCACAGTGTTTTATCTACTTTTGCTTAGTAGTTCCTCAGTGAATATACAGTAGCAACCTACCATTGAGTATGCAGAGATTCTGCCATGGTTAGCTGCTGATTTTCACAATTAGCTTACTGGAGTAAGGATAGAGAAACAAAATAAGTGATGGCTGAATAAATAGATACTGCCCAGTGGTTGTCTAAAGTAGCGCTCTCCCCTCCTGGGGGACACCAGAGATAGAAAATCTGAGTTAGACATGAGCTCACCTGAAGACTATCTCTCCACACCCAAAGAAAGCCATCTAAAAGTGGAGTAAACTCCCACAGCTCAATTACCACCTTTTTTTTTTTTTTTTTTTTTTTTTTTTTTTTGACCTGCCTTGTGAATTACACCTCTCTGAACCTCTGAACCTCTAATTTTGGAATTTTGGAAAAGATTGGCCACAAGAGGGCGCATCCTTAAAACTTCATGTCTTTATCAGCTAATCTGGAAAAGGCAGTTTTGTGTCCACTTAAAGCCCCAGCCTGTAGCGTCCTAATCTGGAAGATTACCAGTTACTTTCTCCCAGAAATCTCGTCTTCCCGAAGGGTTAAGAGTTTATGCGCTGAGAGGAGCACCACTACCTGTAATACATAAAGTGAGACAGAACCGCAGCAATAGGAATGCTATGGTCCACATGAACATTCCACTGCTCCATCGGCCACAGAGTAGGGATACATTTCAAAAACAAACAAAGCAGAGCTTGGGATGTGCGTGAATCATCAGCCACACCGATGTGAGCACAGTCTCTCCCTAATACGGTCACCTGGGTTTTACAAAAACACCTTCCATCTCCCCTGATTCTGCTCCCTAGTTTGCCTGCCTTATTAATGCTTTTCACAAAGAACAAATGACAAGTGGCTTCCAACAGGGAGGAAAAAAACCAAAAAACAAAAAAGGCTATTTAACACCTGGTAGGAACTTGGAGTTCAGCTGCTGAGGATGCATTTGTTTCCTAGCTGAGAGTGTGGAGAGAAACCATGGGGGAAGGATGTGCAAAGAGAGCATCCCCCTCCTCCCCCTCCCCCCCACGTGTGGAGTGGGTGTACTGTAGTGGGGATGAGGAGATGTCAGGGGAGAGATGCAGTTTTCACATGGAGAGAAGGAGTGCCTTCCCACTTTTCATGAAAATACTTATTTGTCTTGGCCCTTCTGTTATATCAAACTTGAGCATGATCTCTTCACTTTAGCTCGGAATTCTTCATGCTTGACTGACTGGTTCCTAGGTTTAAAAGTGTAAAAGTTTTGATGAACTCTGGAAAAACTCTCTGGGGTTGATTCTTGAGAATTTTTTTTTCTTCTATTTATATTATGAAGTAAGACACCTTTTCTTTTCTTCAACCATTTAACCCTTTTCATCATTATTTAAATGGAAGAAGCAATGAATGATACATTACCCAGACCTGAAGATTTACAATAATTCAAAAATGGATCCCAATGAGAGATTAGACAGGATAATTTGCACAGGCAAACTAATATGCCTGCTGTAGGCAAGATTCTCTATAGTAGGACAGGGGAAAAATAACCTTTCAGACCTCACTTGCTGCATTCTGCAGAAACCCCTGGAAGCTGGCCAGAGGCCGACTTAGTGCCTCAGAGAACTGTAATTCTGGCCCGTTATGTTACGGACTGTGCTGTATGTAGGCACAGGGAAACTGGGTGAAGAATGGAAACTTAAAGTAACACATATTTTACAGCAGAGTCCTGCTCCCTTCATGGTAGGTTTTAATGTGCCCTGTGTGAATGGCAAGGCTTTCCACATTAACAGAGACATAATTATTACCTATTTGTAAAAGAGCAGCATATTTTACCTAGGACACTGGTGAGGGAAACCAGCCTAAACTAAGAGCTGGAACTCTATGTGTATATTGATTATTTGGCTGGAAATTACGATATACTCACAAATCTAATAGCTGGACTTTGTGTATGTGGAATTTGCATATTAATGTTGGGGAAGGGATCGAGGAGCCTGCCTCTTGAAGCTCTAGCATATCTTTGTGACCAAGCTAGTGAAAAATCCTGAAAGCAAAAGAGAATTTCTACAAACACCCTTCCTTTAGGCTTCCATAGACTTTCTTTCTGTCCAGCCCTCCCACCAGGCAGCATTGCAGAGGTATTCCCTATAAGGTACAGAATTTATCCCTACTGAATGATGTGCCCGTTTTCTTCTGCTTTGCTACGTGTCCACCAAACTCACCCACATGGATTTGCGTGGGACTTTCTTAGTGAATTACTCAGACAGAGCAGGCTGTGATACAAGCTTTGCTCACAAGCCTCAGGACAGAAAATAGCATAGAGGAGGGAAAGAACATTACCAGGGAGCAGTTAATGAAAGGTTAGGGAGCCAGCAGCTCTATCCGGGGAGCTGCGGCCTGGTGGAGGAACTCAGCACACACCTGTACACATGAGCGCCATACTTGCTCACGCAGCATTATGGGAACGTGTTTATTTCAGGATTTTACAGCAGCAGTTTTTTAAGCGAGGCCTGAAATGGATGGAGAGTTGGTCCTAAACATCTCAGCCTTAGATATTTTTCTTCCCTTTTCCAAATCGTTACATGCTCAGCTTGGGGCCTCCAGGAAGCATCACTGCAATATAGCAATTTCTCTCAGGTAATAGAAACCAAGGGAATATAACATTTAATAGCTATATTTTTCATCCTTATGTAACTAACATGAGAGTTGTAATATATTTCTGAAGCCAACAGGTCTGATAAATGGTCAATCCACTTCAGCTCCTATTCATCTCACTCTCCCCACACCCTTCTGCAATGAAAGCTAAGGTAAAAGGAAAAAAATGCACTGCTTAATAAGTCAGAATACAATAGAACTTGTAAAATGTACCTGCGCATGAGGTAGATGGAGGAAGACTTGACTCTCTCCTCCCCCTGTCCTCCTGGGCATACGGCAACAGCATTTTCATGAAATTGGATCTCAGTTTTATTTTTTTTTTCCCCTGATAAAATATCATGCAATACACAAATAGCAGTTCCAGAAATGGACACCAGGAGAAGGAGGGGACAGGCATGTCAATTAGTAGGGGAAAATCCAAATGTCAGAAATATGGGGGAGAGATGAAGCAAGCTAGAGTGGAAACAAATACAGGAGCAGAGGCTTTCGGCTGGGTAATTAAACTGCGGCACAAATCAGCACCCTTGCCTCCCGTGACAAGCAGGCAATGGCTTGCAGTTAATTGTCAGCCAAGACCAGCCTGAAAGTCGTTTGATGATGACTCTCTGAGCCTAGTGTAGCAGCACCTGACAGACTGAGCCCCCTCTAATGAGCACTCTCTTTGTACAATCCTCTTGCAGGAACACTAAATCATTTGCTTCCAAGTACAGCCCCTCGGAAGAAGGGGTGGAGCTACCTCATGCTTTAGAAACTTGTTCCCATGAAATGAGGTGCCATCCTGCAGGCTGTGTGGCAGGAGCCCATGGCCTGAGCCTTGCTGGACACGATAAAAAGCAATTCATATGCGTAGCTGCTTGTTCTAGCTTGCCAGTTAGTCTTCTCTTGTCTCCCTATCCCAGCATCTGCAGTCAGCTCAGGACTGCTTATGGGAAGCCCAGTGTGAGCAAGTCAGTCCTGCAGTCAGCTGCTCTTATCCTTATACCCATGCCAAGTGTGCAGGTGTGGACCAGGACAGAGCAGAGTTTGGGAGAGGGTTGCCATACTAGAGACCCAGTGAGCCTTGCCAGATGGGAGATGTTTCCCAGGGAAAGACAACAGCCCCTGCTGGCTTTTCTAATTTAGCTGCTACTTTTATTCTCTGTCTGTGGACTGACACCCCAAGGAGCTCAGAATTTCAGAAAGAGTCCTGCTCAGAGGCAGGGAGGGAAATGGTAGGTAGGTAGTTAAATTTTTCTAAAAGAATAGCAGACATGCGCCTGCAGTGGAGGAATATGTGGTCTTCCAGGCTCCCTGTACACAATCCCTCCTTTACTCCAACCTTTCTGGACCCCTCTACCCTTGTGTGCCCTAAAGCCCTCATGATCTGCTGCACTTACCATCTTAGATGTTGCTTCCTAGTGCGTTTTGCTTTCTTATAGAAATAAACAACAACATAAAACCTACAAACTTTAGCAAAGGGTGGTAGTAGGATCCACTTTTAAAAACGGTCACCATGTTTCCCTTTCTCACTGTTCCTGGCTCTTGTATGCTATGGAGTCAGGATCTATTAATTATTTATTTTGACTTCTAACAGAAATGTGAAGTCACTCAGAGGAATGCCTCTGCTACCCCATCTTCCTGGCAGACGTTTAGGCAGATGCCAGGGGGTTCTCCCTGCCTATAGTCAGTGCTCCCTGGCTCTTGCCTTTGTGAATTTATCAGCTGTAGTAATAGTATACAATGTGTTAGATTGAGATTGGAATCTACTGTGTGCCATGCACAGAAAAGCATACCTTCTGCTGTAGTACACTTGAGACTGCTGAAATTTATGGTGCCATAAACATCTAAAGGTCTTCACTGATGAGTAGAGCCGGATTTCTGTTAGTTGTGGAAATCCAGTTAGGGAGATCCTCCTAGGGAGCTGTGATGTCAAAGAAACCTCTTGAAGATTGTTCCCAGACTGTACATGTGATCCATGTACAGCAGACAACTATGAGTAGGGACATGATCATGTAAAAGAGAGCATGCTTTTATATGCCTCCCAATGGTAATGTGGAAGCGAAGGAAAATATATACTCAATCAAAGGATTCTAGTCTGGACATGTGTTTCTTATTATAAATGACACAGCATAATAAATCTACAAGTGTCTGTGAAAAAAGGAAAGATCTACATAGATCTTAATGGTTTCTGGGATGTCTTCTACTTTAAAAGCAGATAAAAGGTGAATTATATTTTAGGTATTTATGTGGTATATTCTAAGTGATCAGAGGAAAAAAATAAGTGATTCAGAGATAAGAGTTGCTTTCTTAATTTAAGGCAACTCAATTCTAATATGCACCCATTTGTTAATTAGTAATCTGGTAATTACCTACCCTTTCTTTGCTGCATACTACACCATGACAGCAAATAAGACAAGCATGACCTAATCTGGTTTCCTAAACTCAATCAGTCTGAGGATGGTAGTAGGTGAGGATAAGGAAGGCAGTGGAAAGTGGCATCCAGTCAGTTTAACAAAGGCATTGTTCTGGCTGGCCCAGGATGTTGCAAAAAACAATCAGTGTTACTGCTACAGGTGGGTTGAGTGCATAGAGTTCACAAGGGGTTAAGTAGGTGGGCCACAGGGACAGACATGGACTTACATGAGGTGCTCAGTCCAAAGTCATGGGGAGTTTGTTGAGTAGTGGAAACAAAAGATCACAGAAGAAGGGTCAACTGTGATCAGAACCAATTTTAGGAAGATTTCTTTAACTGCTTAATGGAGAAGCAACTTGAGAGAGGGCTGACTCAAAGCTTTGGAGGTCATTTGGTGAAAACTCCGATACTGTAACTGGGCACAGATTGACAGACAAATTAGGTCAAGTGGTGACAGGAAGAAGACATTGGCTCAGAGTCTGGCCTACACTGACCCAAACATAGATGCAGGGGACAGGTTTTGGCTTTTTGTGGGAAATAATTCCATAACTTCCAGGGATTTTTATTCATGATTCTTCCCATTCTTTCAAACCTGTGAGATCCGGGATCAAACGTCATCACGTTATTCTCACTTTGTAGATTAAACTAAAATGCAGGAATGAATGAAATAGATGCAGGAGCCCAGGCATCCTTCATCACAGAGCAAGCCTACACACTTGTTTGTTAGTAGTGTCTTCCATAACTACTCAATTCTGTGTAAGTGAAGCATGGTCACAGGCAACATGAAACTGCATTGTATAGACACTAAACTTTAGATTTCAGGTAACTTTCACATGTAAAAAAATACTATTTTTTTTCAATCAGTTCAAAACTGTAAAACTCTTTTCAACTGAGTGGCCATATGAAAACAGATTTATCTCATGTGTGGGCTGTAAATTGCTGACTGAGCATTGTGCTAGGTAGTGGGTAACACGGTTCTTGTTGCCTGGAGTTAGTGATAGATGTACAATTTGCAATTAACATGTGTTCTTTCTCTCTCTCTCTCTCTCTCTCTCTCTTTCTGTATCATTTTATCATCAGGCACAGCCAGGAAGACACTGCATTTTGAAATTTCCAAGGAAGGCAGTGACCTGTCAGTAGTGGAGCGTGCAGAAATCTGGCTCTTCCTGAAAGTCCCCAAGGCCAACAGGACCAGAACCAAAGTCACCATCCGTCTGTTTCAGCAGCAGAAGCACCCACAGGGCAGCTTGGACATGGGGGATGAGGCCGAGGAAATGGGCTTAAAGGGGGAGAGGAGTGAACTGTTGCTATCAGAGAAAGTGGTCGATGCTCGGAAGAGTACCTGGCACATCTTTCCAGTGTCTAGCAGCATCCAGCGCCTGCTGGACCAGGGAAAGAGTTCCCTGGATGTGCGGATTGCTTGTGAGCAGTGCCAGGAGAGTGGTGCCAGCCTTGTGCTCCTGGGCAAGAAGAAGAAGAAAGAAGTGGACGGGGATGGGAAGAAGAAAGACGGAAGCGATGGAGCGGCTGAAGAGGAAAAGGAACAATCACATAGACCTTTCCTCATGCTGCAGGCTAGGCAGTCAGAAGACCATCCTCACCGCAGGCGTAGGCGGGGCTTAGAGTGTGATGGCAAGGTCAACATCTGCTGTAAGAAACAGTTCTTTGTCAGCTTCAAGGACATTGGCTGGAATGACTGGATCATTGCTCCCTCTGGCTATCATGCCAACTATTGTGAGGGTGAGTGCCCAAGCCACATAGCAGGCACCTCTGGGTCCTCACTCTCCTTTCACTCAACAGTCATCAACCACTACCGCATGAGGGGTCATAGCCCCTTTGCCAACCTTAAGTCATGTTGTGTGCCCACCAAGCTGAGACCCATGTCCATGCTATATTATGATGATGGTCAAAACATCATCAAAAAGGACATTCAGAACATGATTGTGGAGGAGTGTGGCTGCTCCTAGAGTTGCCAGGTCCCAGAGGAAATGGATCTAGAAAGTCCAGAGAAGACAGTGGCAAAATGAAGAAAAAATATAAGATACCTGAATTAAACAAAAACAATCAGAAAAATAGAAATAAAAAACCCCACAAAAACAAAAACTAAACTGAGAACAAACATAATGAAACAGATGAAGGAAGTTGTGGAAAAATATCCTAAGCCAGGGCTCAGAGATGAAGCAGTGAAGGAAACAAGGATTGGGAGGAAAAGAGAGAATGATGTACCCTTTATTTCTTCCAAAACCAAACTGATTGCATCAGTTTTATCAGACTGGGTATTGTCCTCTCTCCTGCCTCTTGCGGTTCCCTTTTGAGCCTGGAAGTCTACTTGTCTATTCTGCAGTAATGTGGGCTAGTACAACCCAAATAACGTCTAGAAAGCCATGAGTTTTAAAGGGCCAGTCCCACCCAGTTACCCAGGTCATAAGTATGTCTATGTGACATTATCTCTGTGTATTTTACACAAGCCCAGGCATGTGGGCTTGAGCACACACACACATGCACAGGCACACACACACACACACACACACACACACACACACACACACACACACACAGAGGTATTTCCAAACACCACATGCATACACATACTGGTAAAAGAAGAATTCTGTGCGGGTGGTCACATTTTCTTTTCTGTACCACTTTTGCCACAAGACAAAAATCAACATAAAACATTGAGAACAAGAACGGAAAGAGTGAAAGATCAAGGAAAAAAGAATACCAAGTTACATTTCGTTAAGGTGCTTATGATCTTAGAACTATGCAACCTAATAGGTTTGAAACTGTTTACCTGAAAGAGGACAAAAAGAGAGACTTTTTTGTATTGGAAGTAACCTGATTAATTTTTATTTTCTTCAAGGAGAGATACTTGAAAGGAATATGTTTGTCCATCTGTTGGATTCAAACATTTCTATATTTTGTAAATGTTGTTTTTTTATCGTTTACTATTTGCACTACAATGGTGTTTGACCTGTCTAATCCTTATTTAACAAGTATTTTCTTTGGGTGGGGGTGGGGGTGGGGTTCAAGAGCTGCACTTCATGTGAGCTATAAAAGAACTGCTACAGCACACAAAATAGCTATTTTTATTATTATAATTATAATTATTATTATTATTTTGTACCTTAAAAATAGACACATACACCAAAGACATTTGTGTGAGCCTTTAAGCAGTCTGTCTGTGGTTGGTATTGTTCACCATCAATGAGTCAGGGTTGAGATTTAAGGTTGAGTTAGGTGGGTTGTGTTCAGGCTTAAAAGACCTGAGAGGTTTGAGTTTTGACTCGTTTTACATCCACGAAACAGGACATTTCATACTGGATGTACAGTAGTGTACACTGTTGGATTATCAAGTTCAAATTCATGAGACTACATGCTTTTATGTGTATATATACATTGCTTGTGCATATGCATACCTGTGTGTGTATATATACATGTATTGTACCATGTCCATACACATTTTAAGCACTTCAGGCTGTCATTTTTTTAAATGTTCTTAAAACAATGAATGTTTGTGTGCAAAACACAGTATTTTTAAGAAGGATAAGTGATAGATTTTTCTTGCTTTTACTCTGTATTAGGTGGGTACATTTCAAACATTTGGATGGGAAAAAGCCTGAAAATCCCAGTGAGTATCCAGCGAGGCCCTCTTTAAATGTACAAGATGAAATCCCCCCTCTTTCTCATCCCTGCTCCCTACAAGTAATCCCCTGTGGGGAAAACAGGATGTTAAATACAAATGGTGGGCTTATATTTATTATTTATTGGAATCAATCTTAAATCAGAAACTTTTTTGGAAAGTATCTCTAGGCTAGAATAAAATTTCTTTCTTCTTCTTCTTCTTTTTTTTGAATAGTGTCTTTACTACTTAAATAATAATCTAAGCAGGAAAGTATTTAAGATGGTGGGAATTAAGGGAGAGAACACTTAGGAGCCAGGGATTAGGGTATAGTTGTACAAATCCCTAATATTTTATTTTACAGCCAAAAACTCTTGATGTGTAAGTTTGTATTTTTCAGAGGCAAAACTGAAAAGATTGTCTTATAAATATCAAAATACATGCTTAAACCCAAGTTTCTAATTTAGTCCAGTATTTTGCTTGTCTAAAACAGCTAATAAATTATTCATTTATGTATTTAAAATACAGAGACTTATTTTTACGGACTTGTTTGAAGTTTGAAAACTTTATAAAAATGAAAAACTCTAATTAAGAAAAACTATATTCCTCAGTATTTTATAAAACATTGAAACTTTTAGCATTAAGTCAGTCCATAGATTAAAGTCCTTGTAGGAAAATGAAATACAAGTGAGAAATGAAATCTTACAAAAGCTGGTTTAACTCTTAAAAAAAACTAAGCCAATATATATTCTATATTATACATACATCACCACATTAGGCTGTATGTAGGCAATCTACTTTAGTCTTGTTACTGGGCAAACATACTTACTGTGTTCCAGGGGCCCTCCCTGTCTTATGCAGGAAATGCATGAACTGCATAAGAAATGATTATAATTAAGGTCCATTGGCCTTGGAGATCTTGCATGTGGGGACAGATGGCATGGGATGAAAACTGAGGGGAAGTAGATGGCCAGGTTCAACTTTGCCAATTTATATGAAAAACTTTAGGGCCCTCTGAACTGTTTCCTTGGTACTGAAGCTAATACTGGAACCTACAGAAATAGTATGGAGAGGTCTACTGTGCCATATCAGAGACAATCTAGATCATGGGAAGAGCAGGATTTATGAAACTACTATTTATAGTTCTCTTTCATGTGAGATGAATATGAAATCTCTTAAGGCCCTTAAAATTCTAGATGTATTGGGGGTAAACTCGGGTTTAATTAGTAACCATAGTAATTAAATCTTGAAAAAAAAATGAATTCCACAAGACAATGTATTAATTGGGGATCAAGTGACTTGGTTGTCACATACCAATAAACTACATCTGAGCTCATCAAATTTGTATGGTCTTGCAATAGAATTTAAATTGTTAACATCTTTAAGCATATTAGATATTATTTTGCTATAGTAAGCACTCTCAGAAAACACAGTCTTGTGAACAACCGATCCTTTTAGGTAGCTACTTAGTCCAAAATCAAAAAGCTTTGACTGTTTCTTTGTGGTGTGTTTTACCTAGCATCAGAGTGGCTCTATCTAGTCTCCTAATTTTCTCTAGGATAATTGTTAAGGACCTGCCCACATGAATTCCAGAAGTCATGAAGAGCATCTGTGCTCAATATCTCCTTACAAATTACTCTGTAAGCTTAATTGACATCCCCCCCATCCCAAAAGTAAGGCAAATTTCAGCACAATGACTGAAATTTTCTTGTCCTAGAAGACCAGCCAATTCTATGTTCATTTAAGATTGATTCCACACTCCATTGTCAAGGAGAGGCCTTGCATTTTTATAAAAGGCAGAATAAGCAAAACTGTTTCACATTTGTGGGACTGAACTCAAGAGGTAACTAAAAACAAACAAATAAAAACAAAACAAAATATGCCTCAGTTGTAGTAAACATATATTTAAATGATTGTGGTCACTTGAAAAATATGATTTCCTGTGGGCCTTTTGGCAAGTTCCCTTTTCAATATAAGAAAGACTCAATTACCCCCAAAGCCCGCATAAGTGAAACTTGTAGATGTGGGCAGGAGGTTTGCGGATGAAAACTTGTATGTGTTTAAGTTAAACTTTCTAACATGCAGAAGCTATTGGATGGCTCAGAGATAATGAATGCTAAGAAGCTGTTCACATCTTCAAGAGCAGAATCACAGTCTCAGCTATATTATTATTTATTTTTATGCATAAAGTGAATCATTTCGTCTGTATTAATTTCCAGTGGGTTTTACCCTCTATTTAAATGCTTTGAAAAACAGTGCATTGACAATGGGTTGATATTTTTCTTTAAAAGAAAAATATAATTATGAAAGCCAAGATAATCTGAAACCTGTTTTGTTCTAAAACCTTCTATGTTATGTGGTTGATGTTTGTTTGTTTTTATTTTTATTTTGTGAGTTCTTTTGCATACTATATGCAATTCTTTAACCAATGTCTGTTTGGCTAATGTAATTAAAGTTGTTAATTTATATGAGTGCATTTCAACTATGTCAATGGTTTCTTAATATTTATTTTGTAGAAGTACTGGTAATTTTTTATTTACAATATGTTTAAAGAGATAACAGTTGGATATGTTTTCATGTGTTTATAGCAGAAGTTATTTATTTCTATTCCATTCCAGCGGATATTCTGGTGTTTGCGAGGCATGCAGTCAATATTTTGTACAGTTAGTAGGCAATATTCAGCAATGCCTGATAGCTTCTTTGGCCTTATGTTAAATAAAAAGACCTGTTTGGGATGTATCCTTTATTTTTGTTATTTGTTCACTTGTTTTTCAAGATCAACTGTCATGCATACCACTACACATTTGCTAGGTGGTAATTTTGTTTCTATTGTAATTTTGCAGAGATGATAAAGAGACTAATTGTGGGATGGAGTGCAAATTATTGACTGAGAGAAGTCAAGTAGAGGAGTATCTATCTATATTGCTATGGTAGAACCTAACAGTAGTAGGCTATGATATTTATCTTGTATTTATTTTATTATTTTTCTTCTCTGACTGTAGTGTCAATCATTTATAAAGCAGATACTCTTTACTATTCTCCCCACTCTGTTTCCATTTTCCTTCCTTTTTGTCTAGGGCAATCCAAGGTAGAGGACAGTAAGAATGAGAAAGTAATAAACTTCATTCTAGTACCAGAACTAACAAAAGCAAGTTGTGGCCAAATGTCAATTCAGGGATTAGTTAATATTTAATCTTTCCTTGTATAGTTTCCATCTGGTTTGGTATCCGAACTTGAGGGTGTTTATTACCTCATTTTGTCCTAGTTTAATTTAATTTCTGTTGCTGTTGCTGTGTTAAAAAAAAAAAAAAAAAAAAAAGCAACAAAAAGCAACATGTGGAGTTAATGTGTTTATTTCATCTTACAATTTTAGGGTAAAGTCCATCATTGTGAGGAAGTCAAGACAGAACTTCAAATGGCTAGTCACATTACTTTCTGTCAAGAGCAGAAAAGAAGAAAGTGTATGTGCTCAGTTGCTTGTTTGTAGCCATTTCAATGTTCTACCCTCATGCACCATCCCCCTCATCCCCCTTCCCCCGCCCATGGCCTAGGACATCAAACAATACATTAAAAATCCAATGAGTTATAAATGAATTAGCATTGTGAATTTTATACAGATACTATCTTAATCTAGAGAAACACAACTGAAGTTTAAAAAGAAATATTGGTAATTTGCAAACACACATTAGGGAAGAGAGAATGGGTCGTCATTTTACACCCAAACCCATGTTCATTGCGGTTTCAGCTTTTGTCAGAAAACAGTTGTGTTAGGAGGTACTGTCAGCCTGGCATAGAATAGAGCCTAGATTCCTTCTCCAGTTGAAAGAACAGCTATTTCTGCGGGGCTGCAGCTCTGAGTGTTCTCTTTGGTCTGTGAAAAGGAAGGGTTAGTCTCTATGACGCCCTCTCTTGCTTTCCTTAATTGTCATGCAATTAGTGACTACAGTAAGAAGAATAGGAAAAGCGAATTGTTTACCCACAAGCCAAGTACCACGGGGCAGTCTCAAGACTGTTTGGAAATGTGCAATTGCCTCATTCTATGATGTCTAATTTCATAAAAGCTTGTGTTCCAGAGAGTTTAGATTCATCAAGTGCACACCAGAGAAATATTTTCCCCGTAGAATACATAGCAGCTAAGATCTAGAGGTGGTTGGGGGAAATATTAGGGCTACTGCCTGAACACACACGATGAAGAGCCCCTGTTTCGTTCCCTCAGGAAGGAGTCAGAGGAAGTGCTGGTTCACTGTTCATTCTGTCAGAAAGGAACAGAAAAGCCACACCCGGCCAGAGCTAATTTGCTGCTGTATTTCTTCCTGTCATGGTGCTGGTCTGCCCTCTCATCATTATGATGTGGGGCACACAATGTTCTGACACAAATACTATAATGTGGCAACAAAAGCTCCCACAGAATCCTCTTTTCATTAATGAAGTTGTCTCAACACAGTGGAGTATCAAGGCTAAGCTGTGTGTAATGCTCCATACTCATGGGATAGAAATGGTCATTAAGGCAAAACTCTTCCATTGTGAAAGAATGAAAAAAAGAAAGAAAGAAAGGAAAAAAAAAAAAAAAAAAAAAAGACAAGCTTTGCTAATCTATGCCAGAAGCAGGCAAGGCAGGCCTAAGGCAGGGGATGACAAAGCACCCTGCTTCAAAGTGTGTATTGTGCTAGTGCTGCCGAGTCCTTTGAAGACAGGCATCAAACTCTTCTAAATGGAACCAGGGAGGCTTCTGCCATTGATCTCAGCAACAAATGTTTGTGTTTCATGGTCAATTTGTTTATCCCTCAAAGACTTTTAGTAATGCTGTCATTAAATAAGGCAGTCTCTTGATGATAAAACTAATTTTCCATATGAGTAATCATATCCTAAACATTACAGATCACCACCTAGATGCGATGGCTGGAGGGTAAAATGAACCTTTAGTAGCT